TAGAATATTGATACTTGATCCGTCGTTCCTCAAGATGGATAGTCGCAGAAATTTAACAATGCTCATCATTCATATCTAGTGAAACATTTGCAAAAAACTATACCTTCAGCTATGAAACTCCCATTAAACTCGTGGAGCTTGACTTTTTCAAAATTTGATCAACAATTTATCCGCATCAAACTTAAAGTGTCAAATTACTAAAAAATTTTGTAACCAACAAAATTTGTATATGTATTTCGATATTTTTTCGCGCCCCCAGCAATGAAGCAAATTTCCAAAGTAAAATCTAAACAAGAAAAATATCCTGGACACGCGCCCTCACAGCCCCGACGTAATTAATGCGTACAGGCTTCCGAATAAATAAATAAACCCCCAAAAATCTGTAGAAGATTCTGCAGATTGTTTTAAATACTTTAGCATCACTTCTACCGCGCACTATTGCATCAGCCTCACCACCTCCCCACCCTCCTCCCCCTCCCTGTCCATCACGTTACATTTCCTGTCATCCTCATTCATCCAGAGAGACATCTTTGCATAAAATAGCATAAATAAAGAGAGACGTGGTTATTTCTAAGTTTATAATTAAGAATCCAACAACATTTGCGAGCTGTGACATAAAAAAGTTATTTATACCATAAGACGATGTGCCCGGTCATCGCCGGACAGCTATACCAGAACGAACTATGATCGCAACAACCTGTTGTGGGGGACGCGTCTGAGGGGTAAACCCCCCTTCCTCCCTCCCCCCAGGCCGTCCGGCGACCACGTGACCTCCATATGTAGTTGCTGACCAAACTTAATCCGTTCGTATCATCAGCGGTTTTAGTATATTATTTGAAGGGCAGACATTGCGCTAAAATTATTGCTTTTCTAGGAGTTCACGTCGCTTACGAACTCTTCGTCGATGCAGCCCGAGCCCCAAAAGATACAATTTTATTCTCGTAACCTTAGCAAAGACAGTAATATGATGTTAGAGTAGAACAACGAATCTGTCTTCTGCCGCGCAGCTCTTGCTGGCACAACAATGACCATGAGAGCGGCCGGACACCTGTCCTCGTACGGTCATCACAAGAACCTCATAGAACGGAAGCAGGTGCAGCAGGTAGCAGCTGCTCTTAACAGGTGCTTTTAAAACAAGTACGTCTCAGCTGGCAGCTCAACCATGGTGCAACCCATCAGTGTAGGTACGCTACGCAGAGCGAAGTTACGTGCAGCGCACGCAGTACAGGCGTACGTACAGCAACGTAGCACTGCGTGAATAGAGTGCAGTTGGTAAGTGCGTAATTTAGAAAAGCTTGCAATGTTCGCTCAAATTGAAAAATTTAAGCGATAGGGGAAAGATATAAGGCGCCCCTAACACACTCAGTACCAGACTAACAGAGAAATTACAATGTACTTCCATAATAAATTTTAACACCAATGAATTAAATTAAATAGCTAAATGAACTACTGAACTTCTTGCAGAAAACAACACGTGCTAGCTGGCGTAGGAGTTGGCTAATTTGTTATTAATTTGACCGTGTGATATATACTCATTAGCGAGATATATTCTCATTAATGAGATGCTGTGTATGCTGATGAGTAAGAAGGCGCGCAGTGTCAATAAGCGTCAACACAAGTAGTTACTGAAGTGCTAGAAATACAGTTCATTAACAATAAAACAATTGCTATAAATGCAACAGTTAGCAAATTTGTAATTTTATACTGTAATGAGTAATTTTATTATTTGATTTTAAGTCCTCGTACGAAGCCAATAGATGCCGCGCGCGACGCTTCTGAGTCAAAAACAAAAATAAAATAAAATACCAGGGAAACTCACAGAATTAGTAGCGAAGTAAGAAATTATTCATTAACTTATATCAATTTTTGGAGCAACTTTAAGGGTTTGTTTCCTGTCTTACTGATGAAAATATTTGTATCGAGCGCACTTTTTGGCAGAAATATAAATTTCCAGTGTAGAGAACAGAGGACCAGAACAGGCGTCAGATCACCGATGTCTCGCCACCACGCAAGCAAGTACAACACTGGAACACGTATATAATGTATATATAGTCTCTTGAATAACATGATTATGTCTCAGGAATGCCGAGTAGCGATACTGTGATAAGATACAAACGAAGATACCATGCCTAATATCGACGTCATCTTTCAATTTACAATTGATTTGAACATTGCATTCCAACTCTTCACATCCAAAGCAGGTCTACGGTAGATTACACAAGCAAACGGTAGATTACACAAGGCAAAAATTCCATTTGTTTTCATGACAAGAAAAATACGACTTTGCAGGCAATTCTAAATAATTATCTGCAATGGTCTGTCTATGCAGGAAGACAGCGCTACCGCCTAATATATTAATGCAACGCCAGGATTTTATGTGAATTCTCCCCTTTAAAATGCGAACAAATTTGGCAAGCTAAAATAATATGAGATATAACTAAAGAGTTAGCAAGCGTTGGGGTGCGCACCGCGACGTGTAGACTGTAGAGTGTATATGCTGTGCAAGAAATAGTCGCTGTCGTAAATTACGCAGCCAGATATCAGATTTTTTTATGCAAGGCAGCTGCTTTGAGGCTACTATCACGAAATGTTGGATTTAGTCATTGAGTTCCTTCCTTGTCAACCTATTGCTGTATAGGGGGTTGTGACATTATAAACGATGCCTACCGCAGCCGCAGCGGTCAGCAGTTAGGTTAAGAATTGGGCTATGTTCGTGCACGGTGAATTGTTATCAGAGTACGATAAATTTATGACAAATAAATTGAAACTGACCAAATAAAAGGTTTTCATCGATCCCTTGTCGGAACACGCACAGTGACCGCTGACCCTTGCTTTCCCTTGCACAGTTGCACGCGGCACCATCGACTTGCCTCTGAATGCTCTGATAAATTTTATAAGTACAATTCATGTTTAGAAAATGCTATGTGAGTTGTGACTCAAAGTAATGACAGTTTTTGCACAATTTGACCAATAAATTTAATATTGAGTTGATTGAATTTTAATAACTCGCCATTTATTCGTAGAGTAAAAGGCTTCCTAAAGACTCCAGTCACAAGGATCGAGAATAACTAATTGCGGACGGACAGATCAAGAGCCTGGAACATCATACTCACTGCAACGTATCTTGAAAGAGCGATGAGCTCGCTGCTCCAATGAGAACAATTGCAGCTCGTTTGTATGGTAATGTTGTTTAGGTTTGCGAATCAGCATTCATGGTAACTCCATGGAACAGCAACCACGAGAGCGCAAGACACACACACCTCTAACACATCACTGCCACCTCGATACTAATGGAACGACGTCACAATCTCGCGAGTCGCGACTCGCAGCGGCAGTCGCGACGCACTATAGCTGCTGGTGCATTGCAGCAACAGCACAGGCGTATGTCGTGGTGACGATGCGTGATAATTGTGCAGCCAATAAATTATATATCCTCATACCATGAAAACACAATAAAATTCCATACTATTTTCTACTCGATGTAAAATTATGACGAATCATATGAATGAATAAACTGTGCTATTTAATTTTTAGATGATGCTAAAAAACAAGGCTCTGTATAATAACAACTGCATCAGAATGTCATTCATTTCTGTGGACAGTCTCAATAAAAATAAGATTTTTCAATCTCAAGCTGTCGGAATTTAGTGTCAAAAATAGTTTGCAAAGACTGCAATACAACGAAGTAAAATTTTCCCTCAACAAGTAACAAAAATATATAGTTGCCCGTCAAATGGAAAATGTCATTGAGTACTTGATATTAGCGACGTGGAGAGGTTTTTTGATCGCATGTTGTTAACCTTGTGAGTCAGCATCTATAGCCCTCAAGTTCTTACCTCACACTACGTCACAAGTTTCGACTTGAAATTCTCTCTTTGTCATTAAATGGTTGGAGGTTCTTTTTTAAAGAGTCTATTGTCGCTTTACCTTTAAATGTTCTTCCATCATAAACGCTTTTGATTTTCCAAATAGCTTAAAATATGATAGATACTTCATATGAGACACGTCAAGAGAAGATTTTGATAGATTTGTGACGTTGCGTGAAGCTATGACGTGATGATGACGTCACGCACCAGCTGAGCAACGCAGAACAGGCTGGGAATTCCAGATTGAAAGGGCCACGTTGCATCGTATTCCTCTGATAAAAGAGAGGGCTCTTCGCTCTTTCGACCACGTAATATGCAGGTCAAGATTAACAGTGTTCTTTTTTGACGGCAGTAAATCAATCAACACAATAATTCATGTCGGTAACAACTGGAGTTTTTAGATTTAACTCGTGATTGTATGATTTATTAGACTGTAGACATTATAATATCGGCTTTTTGAAGAATAGGCCGGGTTGGCCAGCCTACCGGTAGTTCAAAATTAGAGCCAAATTTAAAGATACAGAGCTCGATGAGGTGACATGCCTGTCCCGCAGAAGAATTAAAGCATGAATCAAAGAATGAACATCTGATTTTTAACTATTCAACCCCACGAAATAGCGAATTATCCTTTCTCCGAGCCTTCCGTGCTCAAACTCAGAGAAGTGTTAGCTGCATTCAATCCAATTTATTACCTGTGAGTTATAATTGACGGTAGACATAAGCCAACATCAACAATTATTAGCGCATTTTCTCATTTATGAAAAAAGTGCTATTGTGCTCATCACGTCTGTCCGTCCGTCAGTGTGTCAGTCCGTCCGTGACTTCACGTTTTCGTCGACATTGAGAAAATGCGCTCTCTGTCACTCACTGCAGTGAGTACTGAGTTATATTTTTTATATTACTGCCGATTAAAACAAGCTGATAGGATTTACATAAACATGAATGATGATCCTGGGCCCATTCTAATTTGCACGCTAAATAATGTCTTAATGACCTAAAATTCCAAGTGGCGAAAAGATTACTAGTAACACCGTAATACGTATTGAAAGACAATTTTTGTTACTTGGAAATTGGACATTCATATTCTTGGTCAAGTTCAACCCTACCGCGCGGCGCGCTGTATTTGAAGTTTGAACTAGTACCGTACTTGATCTGCAGATGAATAACGCTTGAAAAAGTTGAAACTGTCATTAATTTTGAAGATTCGTTCTACTTATTTGGTGACAGAACTCGTACTCAAAATTTATAATACGTATATTGATCTTAGTTTACGGCTAACCTAGTATTCATAAAATAATAAAATTTTTGCAATTTCGCAAACTTTAATGGACGATGGCTCAGTCTTCGGAAAAGGATTTTCAATCATTCTCTAAACTCAGGTAGGCCTACCTAATCATTGGCATTTGTAGCAATTCATTTGGCAACCGATTGATTCGCTGATTGAGTGTCAAGTTGGTAAGAGTAATCTGTCAACCATTTCAAAATGAAATCAGAAGAACAAATAGGCTATGGTGTACAACTCACAACTGTAGTCAGTAGTAGTAGCCTAGCCAGTAGGCCTACTGTTAGCTAGAGGCTAGAGCTAGCTACTACTGTACATTCACTACCGTTAGTACCGACTGTACCGTAGGTAGCTAGCAACATTGTACAACTACAATCTGTAGGCTAGTACTAGATGATGTTGTTATTTCCCCAAGTAGGTATAAAGTTAGTTAAAGTAGTGGAGTTGAGTTGATAATGTTAAATGTAGTTTTTTTTTATTTCTTTTAGTTTTGATTGAAAAAAATTTCTGTGATATTCTGTATTTCTGTCTTTGTGAATGCCATGTCAATATTAGCAAAAGAACCGAATTAAAAAGTAATTTTGGATATTCCTACTGCGGTACTGCCTACGATCCTACCTACCTACTTGTTAGTAGGTACATTTTATTGTTGAAAGTAACCTTTCAAATTGAGTTTCAATTAGCAAAGAATCTTGCTGCTTCATCATTCACTTCTGTTAACAACTAAATGGGAGATACGAATACGATACGTAATTCATCCAAATTCCAAGAGAAATCTTGACACCCTAAAAATTGCAATTTGGCAAAAAACCTCTAGGCTCTAGCCTACCCCTATTCGGCTCTTCCATCAATGCCTTATGACTCACGAGTTACACCTCAGTGACCATTGACCCAATCTTATTGAATTATTGGCTGTGCCTAATGTGAGTGTAATGTCCATGATGAAAGTCATGAAAAATCAAATGATATTTCATGCATATTTCAATAATCACCAGTAAACCAAATAAAAATAAATTCTGAAACTTCAATTGCTTTTTAAGTATAATGATAAGTACCATTAAATAGCTGGTGCTGGACCTTAGAAAATTACAAATTAATGTATGCTATTTTACTTTATTTTATTGGTGAAATTTCAGATGACTTGGGCAGTTCTGGCTCTTCACTGGTTGCTCCTGTGGCCTGGCCCTCTTGTCAAATTTGACAGGATTAGTTATGCGATGACCTGTTAAAAATTGCATCTGTTATGGTCTGGTTGTTTTACAATCACATAGAAGCCTTGAACAGACCAGTGACCTAGTCTGAGTGATCACTGATAGTAGCCCAATACCAATCTAATTGCTTCAACAATAATTTAACAGAATTTGTGAACTTATTCTCATTTTTTTCTGAGATCAGACAAGTAAATTACTCAATGTTTATCTCTATGAACCATAGCTTTCATTCTGTCACTCTGAGTCTCTGAATGTTTAATTTGTAGTTGTACCAGGCTATCTTATGTTGTTGGTAACTTTGCACAATTGAATAGTTAAATTTTCAGTCTATGCCAAACTAAATGATCTAAAGGCCTTTCTTACACACTGAGTTTTGTTGTATGACCATGCAAATCATAATTCACTGAATAATTGTTGGTGAAATTAAAAACATTGTTGTTGATTCATTGTAATGGGCAAAATGGCCATTTCAACTTCCATAGGAAGCACACAAGGAAGGTGTGATTGCAACCTGCAGCTTGTGAAACAGAAATTTAGATTTTACTAATCTTTAATATTCAATAACTAATTTTTGTACTTTTCAGACGGATGGTGCAGGAGACAAACAGCCCTGAGCTAAAACAACTTGAATCTCAGCTTCTTCAAAGCTACAGTAATAAGCTCAACAAAGAAGCTTCCGATGACAAGAAGAGAGAAAAAAAATTGGAAGTGGTAGGATTTATTTGACTTTGATTTTATTTTTTTATTTTATTGTAGGATTTATTTATTAAAGTTATGTGTTAGAACATTTTTTGCTGTTTTTGTTATTACTATTTTTAGGCAGAACTTTTTTGTATCAAAATAGTTGAGACAAAATTGTTGAATTTTCTTCCAATTCTAACATCAATTTATTATCCTCATTGAATACTTGTACATATTACAGTGCTAGTAGCAGGATTTAGGAATTATGGATTTGCTTACTGATGTTTTGATCACCTATTGCATGTATTGCTCATTTGCTCCTGCTTATTGAATGCGGTGGTTTTTGAAGGCTGCTGAGAAGAGCTTCAATGAGTTGTTTGGAAAGGCCTGTTCGTTGGACAAAGAATATGAAATGATGACCCAGAAGAGATCACATGAACAGGCTATTGCCTTGGCTTTAGTGAGTTTATTGTTTTACAATTCTGACATAAGATCATTTAAAGTAATATAATGCTATGTAAGTGCCATTATTCATGTTTAAAATATCTCCATTTTCATGTTATTTTATTAGTATGATTTATGAAATAAATTTGGGAATTTGATTATACATTTTATTTAGTTGGCCAGCTCTAGGGTGCTGTTTAGTGAAATAGCTTCAAATTCCTTAGAATTTTTTTTTATAAATTATTTTGTAGAAGCTGCCTTAAAGATTTGATGATGATAGTTCTTGCAGTAAGAATTTTTTTTTTCATTCTTTTGTTCAGTATCAAAGGGAACAAGCTGCTTGCCAAATAATCAGACAGTCTGAGCAAGAATGTGGAGAGATCATCACTGACTTGGCTCTTGCTAAGGACCATAAGGAGGAAATTAGGAAGGAAAAGCTACTGTAAATTGCATACAGTTTAGATATATGCTCATGTTTCTAGTTTTTAGTTTAGTTTGACATTAATGCAGCTATGAGAACCTATATTCATTGCCTACCCAAATTTTTCTTGGAACTTGTTATTCCAGTTAACATTAAATGGTTAGCCAGTGATAAATCAGTTATAATAATGAACCTCCAATGTTCAGTTGGTGTTTCTAGTAAATTTTCCTCACCAGTCATGTGTATTTCCAGCATGGAGGAAAAGCGGAACAGAGAAGCCCAAGACAAATATGAAAGTTGCTTGAAAGTCCAGCAGCAGCGGACTGCAAATGCTCAGATGGAGAGAATATTTGAGCTGCGTGAGAGAAGGTAATGCAGCTGTGCTACTATGCACAGCTAAAGGCATCTGAATTATTGATGCCTGTTAATTATTTCATTCTCTCATTCCTTAAATCAGAAATTCCTATAAAAAATGGAAATTTTATTGTTTGGTTCAATTTTGATCTGATTGTACAATGTTTCTTGTTGAAATATTTCCTATTAGTGAAGTAAGAAATTAGTGTTGAGGTAGCGCTGCTGGTGCTGCAGCAGCTGCTCAGACACTGCGGGAGGAAGTTCTGCAGGAAGAGCAGCACTTGCGCCAGCTGCTACACAGCCAGTGTGCTGTTAGACTTGCCAGATCTGTGCAGCAGCATCGTGACCTTGCACAGGCAAGTTTATATTAATCTTTGCTTGGTGTTCAACTTGTGAATTTTTGATGAATTAAAGTTAGTGCACAAATACTATGTTCATGGTGTGATGAATCAAATACTATCAATCATCAAATGATTGGAAAATTTTGATCCTGAAATCATATTCAGAGTTTGATATTCATGTTTTTTCTCTTTTGGTTATTTTTCAACTTTTATACTGCAATAAATGCTAAATTTAATGTTTTTGCAAAACTTTAGGAAATCATTTCCTAATTTCTAACCTATATTTTGTGTTTCAAATACAGGAGGTTCGGGATTTAAGAATTGAAGTGGACGCCGCGGAAAGGTTGCTGCTGCAGGAACGACAGCTGGAGCTGCAAGAACAAGCACAGCGAGAGCGTGAAGCACAAGTGCAGCAAATTCGTCAGCAGCAAGTCAGGTGGCATCCTGATCAGCAGCATTACATGATAACACTAAATGAAACACGTACTGCTTTCTCTCATCTCTAACAGAGATTACTTTTCCTTCATGTTGAGAATTGAAGTCGTGATTGGTTGCAAGTTTATTGAAGATTTTCAAATAGTCTATGGGATTTTCAGGAAGTTTTTTCCATTTCATAGCAAGTACTACTATCTATTTCTACAAAATTATAATTCTATTAGTTGTAATTTTAGTTTTATTATTAATTTTAAATTTAGTTGGAACAGTTGCCATTCATTTTTTACTCAAGTCTTGATTCTATTCACGTCGTTCCAATGAGTGTAAATCATTTGCTTTCAAGTTGGAATTTGCACCCAATTTTCCATCATGTAGTTTACTTTGTTCTTGTAATAGTATGCTTATTGAAATTTCTCCAGAAAAATGGTTCCTGAACTACGTTAAATTTTTACAGGGAAAAAGCAGAGTCCACTAGGCGAGAGGAGCTGCAGGACCAAGAGTACCTCAGAATTGTACGTGTATGACATCCACTAGTGTGGACGTCAATACTAAACTAAACTAACTTTAATTACCCAACTAACTAAACTTAAATTACCTGTAGTTGGGGAATAATTTGTATACCACTTTTCATAAAACGGATATTATACTCATTACTTGAATTTCAGTATACAGAGTTCAATGAGTGAACGTAGTTTACAACAAAGGTGAGGTCCCCTATGGACACCAGAGTCCATTTGCAGTTAATTACTAAAGTCGGTTTACCAGTCTCATAAGGCTCCATTTTAGTGATGAGCGTTAAACATTGTTAACCCTTTCCCATAAATTTCAGTTCCTCTTAATTTCAGAAGTGATCATTTTCGTTTGAAATCAGTTAACGTTGTTTACTGCATCCATTTATAATAACAGTTGACGAGTTAATGCAATGCATAACAAACTTGATTTACGTTGAAGCATTTTGAATTCAAAATGTTACTCAGATATGAACCTCCAAGAACTATATTATCAGACCAATAAAACATGATATAATAGCATTCACCTTTAATTTTTTTACTGCTTCTATCATGACGCTTAGCGAAATAGATTATTAGCATTTAGCATGAGATAATTCGGCATAAGTCCATATTTCAAGAGAACGTAAGATGCTACAGTTTGGACAGACCACAAAAAATTTATCTCTGGGGTCCCGACTGTACCGTACTTGGTAAAAGTTAAACCTGGGAAAGTCTAGGTTATTAATATGCAGTCGTATTGTCATATAGCTATTGGTGGCTAATATTAATGTGTATATCCTAGAAGATGTGGCACCACTCTTGAATTTGATTGTGTGATACTTAAGGATTCCTTGCATTCTAATTTCTTGAGTTATAGCAATGTCCAAAATGAATAATTTCGTTGCAGCTGACTGAAGTTCAGCAGCTGGAGTGCGACCTGGACCAGCTGACTGCAGCAGCACGCAGACGACGACAGGCGCTGCGTGAGGCTGAGACACGCAGACTGCTACACGCACGTTGTTTGCTACGCCGCAGACAGCACCTGCATCTCCTGCAGCAGGACGGGCTCCTGCAGGAGTACCACGACCTAAGGTTAAGCCCTCAGCCATAATCGACATTCCGACTGCCCCTGTTATTCAAGTTAAATTATGCAGGTTTTTGATGAGTTTTTGCCGACCTTGGTTTTGTTTGACCGAATCGCGTCTCTTACGCATATCATTAGCTCCAAATTTATTTTATTAAATGCAAAAAATATATATCGATAGTTTTTTACCTTGATATTTCACTCGGAGATCGATGAGTATATAATTCTGAACAGTTTTTACTCCCACTTCCTCTAACAACTTTCTGGATAATTAACCTGCTACAGATGATTGAAGCTTTGCGAGCTAAACTTGAGTTGTTTTGGGAGCTGCAAAATAAATCTGACGTTTTAATTGCTTCTGAAGTCATCCATCGACGAACATTTTTAAATATTTCTTGCAGATCAGCCACCGCAGCTGAAGAGGAGCGTCAAATATTGCTGGAGTTCGCACCTCATCTCCTGCCCCATCTGACCCCACAACTCCAAGGCAGACTGGCATCGCTACATACTTTATAATGAATACAATTCAAAATAAATACCGACCACAAAGCACATTAAATACTGGCCACACTGCACACTAATACTGACCCCGCTGCATACTGAATACTGACTACACTGCACTTCCTTGTCGTTTTAACACTGCACTCTGTCTAAAACAGCTGTTCTACTGTCACCCGGCGGTTCCGTCGTTTTTCTGACAGCTGTCACTAAATTTAAGTCATGCTACGCAAACTTAACTTTTGCACTGATGGCACACATACGTATGTCTGACACCCTTAACGTAATTGGCAGCAATGTAACCTCATCCTACTTGAGCTGGTGTCACTATCACCACATAAAAACATCCTGGCGCAACTGCAGCACTTCTATTTATGCTATAAGGTGAGTGTCATTTTAGACATTTGTTGATGCTGAATAATAGGTGTTCTCACAAGATTTGTATTGTAGCCTCGTTGGTGTTCTCGAATTAATCCGAAGAAGTCTGATGATGCGGGAGTGCATGTGTTCATGAGATATCGCGCAATGCTTATGTTTATGATGAGCATAAAGACATCATCATTGGCTGTTCACAAGGAGCATAAAACAAAAAATTAGAGGAACAAGTTTCTTTATTTCTAAAATTTTTTCGTTAGGTCCTGCTACACACCATATTTATTCTTTGCCTTTATGCAAATGCAAAGTACCAATCATGAACGTGATTGTGTCCATAATGCCCTATCAAAAAATTGAAAATATTCATTAATATAGAAAAGCATTGTCTTTTATTCTACTATACGAATGAAATTTTTAATTTAAATTTCGTGCAAGTAAATTTTCTCTTAAACTGCCATGCATTCACCGTCCGTATGCGTTAACAAGAATTATTTATTCGCATTTTCTAACTTTGCTTCTTTAGCGAGCGAGAATCGTTGAGGTTTCCATCTCTAACGGTCTTCACAATTTTTTGGCGGCTCTTAAAAACATTCCAGTAATTTATTTATATAAATAAAAGATCTGCAATCAAGAATATTCAATACCATATGCATCCAAGAATATTCAGAATATTGAATACCATATGAAAGATCTGCAATACCATATTCCACAGAAATTTATGGTAATATTTTGCGCAGTCATATTGCACGGAAAAATTATCAGCATTTCATCTTAATAATTTCACTGCTATTGGTTTCGTTTCAAATTGTTGCTGTTAACGTATTCCTATTTCACACCAAGTCTTCTATGTTGAACACTACAATATTATTTTATTATACGTACTTCTAGAGAAATAAACGTTAAAGTTTCTCCAGTCGGTACCTTGAATCGCCCATAGCCCGTAATTCTTTCACGCTAAATATATTTTTTTAAGTATCACTCAGAATCTGCTTAATCTTCATCAATTTAGAGAATTTTTGGCATTTTCCTTCCGTGCATAATTGCAATGCCTTGTTTGATTTCTCGTCAGTTTAGCGACAGCCTCGTTATAATTTAACGACGTAAGTGCAAATTAGAATCTTATTCCTCATCCTCCCTCTGCATTTTCTGACTCTCGTGGCCTGCTTCTGCACCGCTCCCAACCTCTGTGTTCGATTGCTTCTCGTTGCTCACAGACATCAAATTGTTCCCTTCTTCGGCAGCGGTCGACCCAAAGCTTTGCTCGTGGTTGGCCGACGCAGCGAGCGTTTCTTGGCGGCCGCTGGTTGCGGTGTTCGGCGATGTTGTCAGGTCTTGGTGTTCGTTCGCAAACGTAGTTCGTGCCTGTTTCATAACGTGCCCTTTGCGTGTGCGAGGTCGTGCCTCATGACGCTCGTTGACAGGGAGAGGAGTCAACACGTGATGGGCGTTGAGACCACGGCCGTGGTGCGCAGGTTCTCGGACGTCTCGACGCCTTCGGTAGGTCGCGTCGGCCGGTAACTCAGGGTAACCGCATGCCAGGGCGCGCATCAACTCAACCTGACGATGGAAATTTTAGGTGCTGAGACTGACCTCTATGATGCCTCTATTATACTGCGCTGTTATGTAATTATTGCCTTACTGCCATTACAGCAAACCGAAACATAGCCCTAAACTGCCATCTAGAAGTGAACGCGTAAATAACATGCTGCTACAAATCGAACAATTTTATAACCAATTAGGTATACTAACTCCGTCTCACACTCTCGAGTAACGCGCAGAAAATTGTTTTTGCAAGAAAAGGTATTTATAGGAAATATGATCCATTAATGATCATGCAACCTTTTTTGTAGTCTATGACTAATTGTTATTTGGTTTTTACTCCAACAGATCTTGCCCGGACCTTTTGCTGGAGTTGCTCCAGCATCCTGTCCTGCCCCAGCACGTGTCTGGCGATCTCCGTGATTTGCTCCTGAGTGGCCAGCGTGCCAGGCTCCACAGCTGCGTCTCCTGATCGCTTGCGGCCACATCCTTCACATAAACAAATGTTAACTTACGGACATTATTGTACTCAAAAATATTCTTCAATTAAATAATTGTGTGTATTTTTTAAGGCACTCTCAAGTGTAAGCATTCACTTACAATTATGATTGTGGTGTGCAGTCAAGTCGCCGTCTCCTAACGAATGTGAGAAGGAGACATTCTCCTGACATAGTATCCTATAATGGACACAATAGACACGGCGTCCTATACCTATACATTGTGTCCTATAATTACAGTGGCTGGATAGCCTCCAAGTACTTCATTTCAGTGCCACATTCATTGTTCTGAAACCATAAAATACTTAGAATCTCTTCTTGAGTATATCCGAATTATAGCTGCAACATAGAATCACTTGAATTAGTAAGTCAACTATTAGTCCGTCTGAAATTACGTTGGAAAATCGCGGTTTTCACTCGATAATTGTAATAGTTGTATATCTATGCAGAATCGACGCGATGAAAAAAATGAAAGCCAGTGTGGCCCTCTTCTCCATTGTCCATGAATGCAACTATCAATGCTAGAGAATTATTGTCTCACCGGTGAATGCGTTGCAAAAAGGCCTCTTACTCTTCAGCTCGAGGTCTTCATCCAGGCTCTGGAAAATATTTCCGATGTTAAGTCCGGTGAAAGATTATTTTAGATTAAGTTTAAACCTGAACTTGCAAGGCGTATTTAGTAACTTACAATGTATTGCTGGGTGTCGAGCACCTATGTCTTGCAGAGTCTCGGGAAATAAAATTTCTTTCGATTCCATGTTACCTCTTTTAGCGGGATTTGTGAAAGCAGTCAGAGTTGAGTATTTTTTAAATTTTTTGGGGAGTTAATCAATTGGGTTGGAGGACTTGAATTCAGACATGGTAAAGAATACTTGTTGAACACTGGACTCAACATGAATAACTAACATGACAAAATTTTTTAATCTACTGCAGTGATAACAATGGGGTTAGGGAGTTGAATTCAGGCATGGTAATGTGTACCTAATTGAACACTGGTGACTCAACATGAAAAACAATAAAAATGACAAATTCCGAACTTCAAATGTAGGTTATAACCGATTCCGCTGTTGACGGAATAAACTCAGCAATTGGAAAGTAGATCAAAAGAATTCGCTCCTGCGTCTAACATTAAAAATTTGCAAGCTACTGCAGCTCATAAGCGATTGCGACACCAGTTGGGCTAGACGCCAAATGTTAGTTGCACGACTGGAAATTGTGTTTCCACTTCCTCTCATTGCTTCCTTTAGTTGACGGCTTTAACTTTTTAGCGCATTTTCTCATTTATGGAAAAAATGCGCTATTGTACTCTTCATGGCCGTACATCTGTCCGTCCGTCCGTGACTTCACGTTTTCGTCGACGAGAAAATGCGCTCTCTGTCACTCACTGCAGTGAGTACCGAGTTCTATTCCTTAAGATAAAGCGACACTAAAACTGCAGCACGCCTGAGAATAATGCCTTAATATGTATAATATTATTACTTTTTATTAGTCTAAGCGAATGCGTTGCAATATTTAACTGCACACTATGAATTTAACGGTGGGTGGCGTGCGGCAACAGCTGCACAGCTTTGCCAGATTTACTTGTGTTTGACAGTAACTATTTTTGTGAAGTAAATTACTAACTGTCTGGCAATCATCCACAGTCTGGAAAATGCTCGCGTAACAAGGGTATGAAAGAGCTGATTTAGTTTTACTGTCCTTTGACCAGTTTGTTTTATTTTTTGTTCTGCTTGCAATGACCGTTGACAGGAATATTTATTTCAGACCATCTGATAAGCTATCATGCGCTCTAACTAGAATAGATTCACATTGAGTTGACATTAATCCTGTTGTCATATTTTCACCCTGAAAAACGATTGAGTGAAACAATTTATAGCTGGAAAGCGATTGATTTCAGCATGACTGCAGGTTCAGACAATTATTCAAGTGAGCAAATGACAAACATGGTCATAGTTGACCAGGACTGACCCTAGGATGTGCGGCGCAGGTGAGGGCAAACTGTAGCAGGAGAGTGGCCACCAGCGTTACTGATCCCCAGTCTCTCATCCTGATGATGTTTATTATACACCGAGCCGAGTCCTCCGCTCTGGTGGTAGGTTTTACTTTAACGCGTTTAGCGTCCTGCAAGATGATTGGCTGTATGTACGGTGCAGGAATTATTTTCGAGTGATGGCCCGTTGCCTGCGGTTTGAGCGAGGAGTTGGCGGCACTTCAGATGTCCTGCATCAAGAATACATTGATTAAAAAGTGGGCGTTACTTAACAAAATCCACATGGTGCCCCTTCAATGACGCGAAAAAATTATGAAATTGCGGTAGAATTGTCTGTAGGACTATAGTCTTAACTGACGAAAAGGAAAGATTTTATTTCTTGAAACACTTCAAAATTGTAAAAATTCCCAAGAAAATTCGAGTATAACCATAAACACTCAAACAAGGTAGAAAAGGCTATTCACTAATAAATTTTTCCGCTGTTGTTTTATTTCATAGCCGTAGCCTTTATGTTAATTAAACAGGGTATATTATTTATGTTCCGTTGAGCCGCTTTTATGAACCGACCTTCTTCCCCCATTTCTATTTTTCAGACCTCACAGAAAAACGCTCAACAACAGTTGAAATTCACAGAGACTACATGTGGATTCTATTTTTATGACCAAGATAAATGGCAGTGTGTGAAATGCTACCTGTGTGCAAGCAAGACAGTGAGATCGTAGACTATCAAAAAATTACGCTCGTTTAAAACCATCAACCGCAACCCACGTAAAATTTCACTGCATTGTTGGCCATAGAACTGCGCAATGAACGTAATCCCCTGCTGCGAGCCTCTCAATCAAAATGCCAAATCAATGAATCATTTGTTACCATTAGAGAAGCCCAACAAATGTACTTTTACCACTTATATCATTAGTTAGCTTAAATTCCAAGACATGACGAATTGACATGGCTTTTCTTTGCTTACAAATTCTTCTACTACCTGTTGTGAACGTATAACTTGGAGCCTCGGCTTCAAATGTGCAAAGGAGCATAAATGAACACTAGAAATATGGTTTTAATACCGGTCCCAAGTGAGTTCAATCGATCGTCACTCGGACACTTGTCCTGAGTTCCTTCAGATACCCGTGTTTTACTGTGTCACCGGGTTCTCAACTTCGCCGTATATAGCAACTAACATGCATAAAATATGCTGGTCATTATTTAACGAGGCAGTGGGCACCAATCACACCCAGCATTTTTCAATCGATTCAAGGCGTCGATCGAAAGTAGTCAAAGTAATGCTCGATTCGTTTCACCCCTTTCATAGCAGCAAAATATATAACCAAATACTTGCGTACGGCAATAACTATCCATTACTCGAACACGATGAATGAAGTTTTCTTTTCACGATGACTTGTTAATACTTTTTATGAACAATGTACATCTATATTCATCTCGCCCCAGATCATTAAACTCTTCAACATTCTGTTCTGGAGTGAACCGATTGGTTGTGAGAAAATGAACCGATTGAAACATATGTACAACTGATCATCCCACATGAGCATGAATTGACCAGCGTCTCTAGAGTTCCCGAGCAATGACGGAATTTACCACAGAAATTTAGCTCTCTTTTATGTGATTGCTGTCAACTTTTTCCCCTGTTTCGTATCATGGAAAATAGGTTCAAGTTCTTCACGTAACTAATAGGAACGCTTTCAAGAACCGACAAGACATAATAAAGGAGCAAAACTATTCATATATCTACATAATTGACATCCTTTCTGTTGAGAGAGCAGATGTTGTTGAATTTCCAGAGAAGAGTTACGCAATGTATGATGAATGAATTAAATATATGCTCATGGCTTAACGACCGCTGGTTTTGGCGTTGTATTAGTCTGAGCTTTGTACCGAGAATACAGATACGATTTATTCTCAAAAGCAAGTTTAGGAAAGATTAGTGTATAATGGACGTGTTCACTGTTCAAGTCGTTTTTTCAAAGCTGAGGGTTAACCAAAAATTTTTGCTCTGGTTCCATTATTCATTGTGTTTACTGAAAACGTTTTTCAACAGAAAGATCGAGCCACAATAATGTTCTGTTCATTTTAGAGCTTCGCTGCAATAAGGAATGTAGGACATCACTCATTTCTGGCTGTCAAGCGCGTATCGTTTACGCCTGTTATTGGACGAAGAATTGAGGATTTGTTCAACTGGATTATTTTTAATGCATACAAAATTGGTACCCGGCTCCTCTGACTTTACTTCATTATTTTATGCGCAGAATACTTAGTATTTTCTTTTACTATATTGCTCTTGAAAGTAGTTCATCATTTTAATATTTGTACGCAACATACTAAGAGCGGATTTATAATAAAACTTTTCATTTGTTATCATTGGAGTATTTCAATAACCAAGTTACTATATGGCCTGAAGGTTCATTGAGTTACCAAGATTTCAATAACCAAGTTACTATATGGCCTATTCCTACCTGGTCGATGAGCTTCTCTGCACGTTGTCCCACCTAACGTTGCAGAAGCTCGCCGCGATCTGCCACTCTAGGTCTACTTGTCCGCCTTATATACTCAAGCCAAGCAAGGAGGTAAAAAAATGTTGACGCTGAATGCATCGAACGCTGAAGACGCTTCGATCATGATTCATAAACGAATTAAATTATTTTTATGCTTATTATGATTATCATAGTGTTCAGTGATGTAAATAATTGCTATACATCATATTTTGTACATACCACAAACTAGAAGTAAGATGGGAAGTAAAGTTGGTTTTCGAGTTCTCTGATCATACTTCACCGTTATTTTTTCAAATATTATTCTTTAAAGCTTGCCACGGAATTATTCAGCTGAAGGTACGAATACTCTGTAGTAATCATATTCACGATATCACATTCGGACCTGTTTCATATTCACTACATGCACGCTTTCAAAATTCAAGACACTGGTTCTCACATTTTATGTGATCGAGTAACACTTCGAGGTCCCGCTTACGGGAGCGCAGCCGTGCACCAATAAGCCCTGAATCGCACGTCTAGGATCTCTCCGGACATCCACCAATCAGCCGTGACCCACTCGGCTTTGTCCTCCTCCGGCCTCGCATAGAACTTGCCGTGCACCACCAGGCCGTGGATCCAATATGACTTCCGGGCATCGTTAAATTACGTAATTTTACGTTCACGGCATCTGAGGTTAGGTTTCAAATAGCATAGTTATGTTCCTAAATTTATCGTCCTTCGACGAGTGGCCGTTCGACCGAGGGCTGGTTCGACGCACGGCCTAGATATGATTGTCCAGAAGTGTTGAAGGCAAAGTTCCGGAAGGCAGGAATCATGTTGGTCCATTACAACCAGGGCAGTGGTGGTCTTCGGCAGGCGACCCCCGCTTACTAGCTGGAGACAACTGACATTCGTCCGTGAATCGCAAGTGCTGACGTACCACTCGGCAGTGGCTCTCAAACCTCTCGTACTATTTGTGGTACGCGAGGGCCTTCCAGGTGGCACTTTAACACCTTCTCAGTCATTAAATATTTTCAATCATATATTTGTCATATCCCAAATGCTTCAGCACCTCCAAGTTGGGAAAATATCCCAATCCCAAAATATCCCAAATGCTTCAGCACCTCAATCAAGTAGCACCTCCATACGCCACCCGCCTGACCCTAGCTCTCGAGACCGCCATTGTATGGAAACTATTTCCTTTTTCAAGCATACTCAGTATTATCGGTACGCGTATCAGTTTCAAAATTACCCACGTGTGCTTATGTGAAAATGCGAATTCCTGTCACCATGCATGTGAACGAAAGGAGGCTGCCGTAAAATATTTTAGTCACCACTCGAGACGTCTAGGGTACATGCTTTGAAATGTTATTCCTTCAGATGCAGCTTTACCTATAATTTATTTTTGAATAGATGGTCCTAGGGCTGAGCTATTGACGAAGAAATGACCAACAAATGCCGCTTCCCTTACAATGGCGAGTTGCACGATTTACAATGCGATTTACCAGTGTAAGCTATAGTGTGACCGGACATTCAACCCTGCGAGGAAAATCAAGGACTCCTCAATTGCAACTTCATTTCAAAAATTTTATTCTAAAAAGTGAAGCACAACCATATAAGATACACTGGATGAAATGCAAAAAAAAAATTATTTTGAGAGTGGAGCGTTTGAAACATTTTCAAGATCACGCCATGAAACCGCGGTGCTTTGCCATTTTATTCGGTTCTTCGAGGCCGACATCTGATGAACGTGTTATTTTAGCCGAAGCAATTGGGATATTCCGATCTTAAAATAAAAATTACTGGGAAATGGTTATCTGCCTCAGTCTCAACAAATCGACGATTCGTCTTAGCGTTACTTCAGTTCCGTATTATTCAGTTCCCTTTGGTATTATAAAATGTTAAATGGTATCACTATGGAGTAAAATGGACAACCTAATCGACAAATTTAACGCATGCAGCTAAAACATGCGGTAAATGGTGCGAAGATAAACCTAGTTCCATTCTGCTGTAATAAACATATCAGATCTAAAGACTATCTGCCAAACTCTCGTAATGTGTAATTTGAAACGGCGGTCTAACTGCACCTCCCATCAGAACTTTTTTCTTTGTCGCTGCTTTGGTCAACATTTTCGTCCTGGTATTCCTGGCTAAAATTTTCGTCTCCTTTCTTTCAGATGGTGAAATAGTGAAGAAGATTAAGCAGTAGTTTTAGGCTTCCGACCTCTTGTCTTGGGGGCACCTTTTTGACCTGCCTTTATTTTTAACGAGGTTACTGTTTCAACATCAGCTGGCATCACTTCAGTCGTCTTTTTCTTTGCTGTTACTTTGACGTTTTTGGGCAGTTTATTCTCTACAGAAGGCAAAAGCGGCAAGGCTTCAATTGGGACAGTAATTTTGCGTAATTTTGCTGCTCTGGCGGGTCTGCCGGGCGACTTGGCGGGTCTGCCGGGCGACTTGGCGGGTCTGCCGGGCGACTTGGCGGGTCTGCCGGGCGACTTGGCGGGTCTGCCGGGCAACTTGGCGGGTCTGCCGGCCGACTTGGCGGGTCTGCCGGGCAACTTAGCTGGTCTAATGGGTGACTTACTCGGTATGCGGGCCGATCGTGCTGCTCTGCCAGTCAATTTGGCTGGTCTGTCTGGCAATATAGCTAGTCTGCTTAGCGACTTGGTTAAACTGTCGGGTGACTCAACTGACGAAGGCAATTCATTTTCTGACTGGATTGGTACTTTGACAGCTTTACCAGAAGATTTTGCGCCCTTGAATGCAGTCACACCTAAAAAAGGTTTTACCTTAAACGCAAATTTCGCAGGCTTTTTATTTGCACTTCTTTTAGTGTTCGCCTTTATGGATTTGGTGCTTTGAGTATTGAAAGATGAAGGTGTTTCTGCATTTCGTTTGTTGGAGACACCAGTTTTTCTTTGCCTTGCCGTCAGCTGTGTCTGCGAATGAGAATTGTCACTAGACGTACTTTCGGCATCTTCATTCAGGTCCACTGCTTGCGGGGATTCCGTTTCAACATCATTAGAAGAATCTTCTGATGAAGAATTGCTTTCTGGGAAGTTCATCTTCCTTGTCCTATTAGAAGCTGCGCCTAGAGTCGGTTTAGCTTTGGCTTTGACCGGAGCCCTGCTGCAGACAACATTGTTCCTCCTCTGCCGATTGACCACTGTGAAGGTGGCTTCTTCGAAACTTTCACCATCAACTTTAACAGAACCTCGTTTAACAAGTAAATCTAGAATCCTACGTAGGTATTCTGTCAGGTCATCACCAGTCATCTTAAGAAGCGGCATTGAGAGCTTTTTCAGGACAGCAAAAACAACAGGATCACTGCGTTCATCAAGTTCTTTTATTACTCCAAAAACGATCTTTAAATGGGCATTATTAACTCTGCTTGCACGTTGCTTTTTCACTAGCATTGGTAGTTCAGGACTTTTTTCTTCTTCGGTTTCTCCACTTTCAGACTCTGTCCTCTCTTCAACTTCTGAGACTTCAATTTCTGATTCATCCATATTTCTTCAGTTTTTTTTCTGTAAAGGGAACACATTTACGAAGTGTAAGCAATTTAGTGGTTCTGAAAACTGCTAGCGAGATAGATTGCAAGGTACTGCTCGACGACATTCCGTTAAACCCTTTATATTTCAGTAACAAAGACGTCGATTACATTAAATTTTGATTTAAGGCATTCATGGTGTAATGCTAATATAATGTCCATCATGTCTTCACAACCCAACGTCGGCAACATTTCCCTTTTAGTTACTATGAAACAAAGAAACTTGCACACCTTCAATACGGTAGGAGATTTCATTTAAGGGAACGAATGTTCTAGTATCTGAGAGCGATCGATAGTTCGTTTTGAATTTCATGAGCTTATGTTGCAACCTTGAGCGTGGGCTTAGTGATTACGCTTCCCTTCTAATTTCTAACCTTGTGGGCGCATTGCAATATACTAATAATTTGCACCCATAGAGCAATAAAACCTAAGCAATAGACTAGGTATCTAATATGCACAACAGAAATTAATGAAGCCTCGCAACTGTAATGTGAACGTCATGCTTACGGATCTCACGAATGCACACAATAGTCCTATATAAACTTAGCGACTACATATGCATTCATTACAATTTCTCATAAAGCCCCGGCTAAGTAATAAATCATCGCAATTCCGAATATTTTTGTAGAAAACTCGAAAAAATAGGAAGAATAACCTGTGATGGCCCAGCGAAGTCACAAATTAACATCTCCCGAACGACAGTAAAATTTAAGCATGACATGCGGGCTGCGAAAACGCATCCATCCACATTGTGGTGCATTAGGCCGAGTCATTATTAATCAAGTCTATATTGATATCCCTAGCATATTTCTCATTCAAACTATGATGCTAGAACATTACCTGAATACCTACATAACGAAGTCGTGGTCAATTCCTTTCAGAGTTCACACCTCGTAATACGCCATCATATTTTAGATTATTTAAATTTATCTGACATATGATTTCATTGTTCATTACCATTTCTTGAAATTAATTAGGCGTCAACCTATATCTTAACGTCTGACAATACCTACACATCAACGGGAGCTAATACATATTTTCCGGCCACGAAGAGTGATCAGTGAGGCACACACGAGCCAAACGATATGACGTAAAAGGTCAACAACTCCATTTGCTGAACAGCGTAAGACCATCAGCCGTCACGGGAGCTACCACCAGGGGGCGCAAAGCTGCTGGTAATGCTTCTTCTGTCAGCCTTGTATAAAGACCTTTAATGGACAGAAAAAGAGTTACAGTCATTTTATCACCCTACCACTTCGTCCCAATGCCAAACGAAAAGGTATTGATAAGTCTAGGAGTAGATTTAAGTCCTAAAAATCTCAGCAGAGGGCGTCCAGAAATGACGGAGCTGCCTTGCTTTGGGATCATTCACAGCTGGAGATCACTTGGCTTATGAGAGACCAAAATTTATCGCGGAGTGGGTAAAAATTTATGATGAAACATGATATCATAACTTCTTGAACGATAATATGTTTCAACTTTTCTCGTTCCTCAAGATGTTATAGGCAAAAATTTTTTATATCTAGCATGTTGCTCACCATCTCTCAGAATTTTTGGGACGTTTTCTCGTAGCATGTTTTACACACATAACTTTGTAAAATCAAAACCAATCTTGACCAAATTAAAAACTAAGCTATTTATCCATGAGGCGCTGTCAGATTTTTTCCATACTTTAATCGGATACTTAGATACGGTAGATACTTATTTCTAACAGATTTTCTACGCATAACTTTGTCAGTTCAAAACTGATTTTGACATAATGAACGATACAGCAAGTTATTGACATTACGCTCAGGCAAGCGTTGTCAAAATTTATTTTGCTATTTTCGTTGTTAATTGTCACGTTAAACATGCACGTTTTCCACGCATTCGTTTCTCAAATGTACACCCATTTTGACCTAATTAACAATCAGGCTATTTACCTACAAGACTTTCTCACGTGCAATGTCAGATGATTTTTCTTCTTCCTTTTAGTGAACATGTTTCGTTTCTTCTTTTAGTAAAGTTCGATGTACTGGGGTTCTAAACCTAAGTTAGGGTCACTAATAAACTTATGTTTCGTAGACACGTAACATTTTGATTTGTGAAATTACGCACGTGGGTGATTTGAATACCTTACTTAAATAATTATTTCTTAACTGAAAATGAAAATCATGTAATAAAACATTCTGAACCAAATTTTCTCAAACTTTATGTCATTACTACAAAGATTTGTAGAATGTGCAGACAGGCAATCGAAACTATTTGAATAATGATATCGCAAATATTGTCCGAACTCAGACTGCACTTGAAATGCAATGCTATTTCTTATTTTCGTGCGATTTATTAAACTGGAGCAAAGAGTCAAATTTTCCACTACCCTCAAAATATGCCAAACAATATAAACTATTCAATGTATATTTTTGTTAACAGGCAGATATTTCAGTTTGGGGTCGTCTGCCTCCAAGTCGCACGTCTTTTGTGTCGAGCCGAGGACGAGTCTGGCGGGGCTTCCCTTGGCCTTCCCTCGAAATACTTGACGCAACGAAACTCTACGCACCAGCGCGCCCTTAATGGCTTCCGTCTTTTGTGACGAGCCAATTCCAACAACACAACGCATATTCATTGAAAAAGAAACATGCAAAAAAACAGCAGTCATAGACCTTGCTCATTCACATCGAAGGCTATCAAGTGGAAAATTAATTTATGTACTAAAATTGAAGGCCACACCAAAGCACTAGAAATTTTCTGGTTCTTGCAAGTTAATTATTTTGAGGAAAAATACAATGTGCTGTGTGACAATAATTTCTGAGATTTTCGTTAAATGTTTTACTGAGCTCCTTATTATCTAAGTGGAATCCGGCAAATACATTATCATTAAACGCTGAGGCATAAATAAAAACTCGCTGAGTACGTTCAAATACGTCAGAATCTAATTGTTCGGCATGAGTACAGCTTCTTCGTAAAACAAAAATACTGCAAGAATGAATTCTAACTGAGTCATCTTCGTTACGATCACATAATCTTCTTCTTCTTTTGGGTATGTCCCCGCTGGGTGGACTTGAATACGATCACATTGATACCATCATTTCTTTTCGTTTCGGATTTGTGGGAGCCTCTGAAAACTTGTCCAATGTGGCCCCACGACAGGGTTTCACCATCATTTCCCCCGACGAGCCTGTCTCATATACATGGGCGGAGGCAGCGTTACCCGTTCTCGGACATCCGTTTTTCTAACGGCCGTATTGACGGGCGCTCGGACGGTCATACACGGCTGCTGCTCGTAGTTAATACGGAACCCAGGGCCATGGGCGGCAGCTACGAATTTATCCGGAGTGCCAGTGTGCAGCTCCACGATGATAACGCTGGATGTCACTGCGCCTGGCAATAGAAATTATCGCTGCAAATGTAAAGATTTTCACTCGATTTTAAGCGTCAATAATTTGATTTGCGCCGCAACTATTCACACCTAAAATTATTTAAAATAATAACGCTCATACTAGGTACTATTTGAAGCATTTTGCACGATAGGTGTTATACTTAAAATCTTAAATTACGTATTAGCGAAGTGACGAACCATGCATATACATAATCTCCGGTGATTGATCAATCATTTCACTACCTCTCCGCATAATAAATATTCATAAATGTTTTATTCTACAGCACTCTAAATAATGATTTATTTATTAAGATTTATTTATTGGCGATGAATTTGAATGCATGCTTTCTAAGATATCAATTAGGCGCATGGATAGTCAAATCCGTATATACACAAGTTTGACGTGATTTACCATTAACCCTTTACTGCGTTCCACTTAAGTGCTGTTCACAGGCATCAAAAATACCGTCGCTTTGGTTTTCACACTATGTTCAAGTTTTTCGGAAAATACTTCAGTCTTATAGCAACTTATTTGTGACTAACTTAAAATATGGTTCTTAAGGGGCTATATGACTAACTGAGACTAACTATAAGAATCATATAAAATATGGTTCTTGAGGTGCTATATGTCTAACTGACCATAACTAACTATTGAGGGGCTAAATATGACTAATTTTAACTACGAAGGACTTTAAAGCTCGCAGTGCACTCACTAACAACTGCCCTTGGAACGACTGCTCCATGCGTAGGCGCCAAGACACCGCCGCAGTAGCGGTCGTGTGTGGCAGTGGCCGCAGTGGCCGTAGTGGCCGCAGTGGCCGCAGTGGCCGTAGTGGCGGCAGTAGCGCCACCGCGCGGGATCAGTAGGAAGTCGCGCACGCAGTAGAGAGACGTGACCCCTGACGCGCTGTATGGCACCTGCCGGTGGATGTCTTGTGTATTGAATACTAATTTTATTATTACTATCTTGAGCAATTGTTCGGCAAATAATAATTATTCTTCAACATCGAAAGAAAAAATTGTAACAGGAGGAGATTTGAAAAAATAGACGGTGTTTCTTGCCTCACTATCTTTAAGTTTAAAATTGATCGTATTAGACATAAAAATATTTCAATGAACCATATAAATAGATTTTAATCCTCATATAACTTCTAACACAATAAAAATCGCTAATAAGCAAATTGCTCTTCAGTTCGAAGCTTCGGGAGACATAAGACATTAAGGGATGTCTGACCTGCTCTTTTGAGCCGTACTTCTCGAGCAGAAAGTAACTTTAAGGGATGTCTGACCTGCTTATTTGAGCCGTACTTCTCGAGCAAAAAGTAACTTTAAGGGATGTCTGACCTGCTCATTTGAGCCGTATTTCTCGAGCAGAAAGTAACTTCAAGGAATGTCTGACCTGTTCATTTGAGCCGTATTTCTCGAGCAGAAAGTAACTTTAAGGGATGTCTGACCTGCTTATTTGAGCCGTATTTCTCGAGCAGAAAGTAACTTTAAGGGATGTCTGACCTGTTCATCTAGCCGTATTTCTCGAGCAGAATGTAGCTTTATTGGTCGTTGTAGTACTGCCCGTCCTCGACGCTGAAGCTCTGCAGCTTACCAGTGCCGCCTACGTGGTACTGTAGGCAGCCTGGGGGCGCTGCAGACAAAGCTTTCTTCACATTTGCTATCAAAATATCATTTATTCCATCAAAACATAATTATTTTTTCAGTTTTAATCATTGGCGCTGTTAAAAACAAAGTGTCTGAAATTTTGTATCAAATGTTTTTTACACCGTCGAATTTTGAAATACGACTGGATTTTAAACAAGTTCTTGTTTTATGACTTTAATCTTCTTTTTAGAATTGCATTTTGTGTCTATGATTAATCACGAAGTAATAGCGAAGTTACAGGCATGAATGGCGTCATCACCATAAATAAAATTTACGATCCCATAAATAATGAGATCAAAATTTATCAATGCATGCAAGCAAAACGTAAATTATATCAATCCGACATTTTTTATTCTAGAGACAAAAGAATGGAGGGATACATTTAATTAACACAACTGCTTTAGGTCGATAGACGAAGTGATCCGAAATTGTGTCTTCGCGCTTGCCTGACTTCAGGTTAATGCCACCTTGTATTTGTGTTAATGCCCACCTTGTATTTGTGTTAATGCCACCTTGTATTTGTGTTAATGCCCACCTTGTATTTGTGTTAATGCCCACCTTGTATTTGTGTTATTGCCCACCTTGTATTTGTGTTAGTTAATGCCACCTTGTATTTGTATTAATGCCCACCTTGTATTTGTGTTAATGCTCACCTTGTATTATTTGTGTTACTGCCCACCTTGTATTTGTGTTAATGTTCACCTTGTATTATTTGTGTTACTGCCCACCTTGTGTTTGTGTTAATGCCACCTTGTATTTGTGTTAATGCTCACCTTGTATTATTTGTGTTACTGCACACCTTGTGTTTGTGTTAATGCTCACCTTGTATTATTTGTGTTACTGCACACCTTGTGTTTGTGTTAATGCCCACCTTGTATTTGTGAAGAGCCATCGCACGTGACCTGTGTGAGCCAGAGACCCCACTTGTACGCCTCCCCAGGGGATGCAGAAGTCACCACCACCTCAAGGAGAGGTGATGATGTGCCTGGTATCACCTCCACGTAAACTGTGGGGATGTCAGATACAACAAATGAACAATATCTGGTCTGTCCTATACTCGGACGAGTTTAAAAAACCCGAAAGTTACATGATATTGAGGTAATGGTC